CCCCCGGGCCCCCCCAGGAGATCCGGTTCCCCAAGATGGTGACGAACTGCTGCCGCTTCCTCTGCTACTTCTGCCGCATCAGCCGCCAGAACCAGCGCTCCATGTTCGACCACCTGGGCTACCTGCTGGAGAACAGCGGCATCGGCCTGGGTGAGACCCCCCCGGGACCCCCCCGTGTCCCCACTGCCACCCCTCGTCCCCCCACTGCCACCCCTGTCCCCTCCCTGTCGCCCCCCGTGTCCCTGGTGCCACCCCCATCCTGTCCCTGCCACCCCCTGTCCCCTCCTGTCACCTTTAGGGTCCTGTCTGTCACCTTGAGGGGGGGTGTCTCTGCCCCCCCACTCTGTCACCTGTGTCCCCCTGACCTCTCTGTCACCCTCTGTCACCTTGAGGGGGTGTCTCTGCCCCCCCAGTTTGTCACCTGTGTGTCCCCCCCCCAGGTATGCAGGGCTCCACCCCCCTGGACGTGGCGGCCGCCTCGGTCATCGACAACAACGAGCTGGCGCTGGCCCTGAAGGAGCAGGACCTGGAGAAGGTGGGGACACCCCCTGATGTCCCCTCTGTGTCACCTGTGTGTCACCTGTGTGTCCCCTGTGTGTCCCTGTCCCCTCACCTGTGCCCAGGTGAGCGAGCTGTGCTCTGCAGAGCTGCCCCAACGCTGCTGTACCCCAAAATCCTCCATGTCCCCTGATGTCCCCTGATGTCACCTGATGTCCCTGATGCCACCTGTGCCAGGTGGTGACCTACCTGGCGAGCTGTGGGCTGCAGAGCTGCCCCATGCTGCTGGCCAAGGGCTACCCCGACATCGGCTGGAACCCCTGTGGGGGTGAGAAGTACCTGGACTTCCTTCGCTTCGCTGTCTTTGTCAACGGTGAGAGACCCCCAGGTGTCCCCCAGGTGTCCCTCAGGTGTCCCCAGGTCCCCTCACAGGGGTCCCTGTGTCCCACCTGGCAGCACTGCCTGGATTTCCTGTGCTTTGTCACTGCCCAGAGACCCCCAGGTGTCCCTTAGGTGTCTGCAGGTGTCCCCAAGGTATCCCTCAGGTGTCCCCAAGGTGTCCCTCAGGTGTCCCTGGGTGTCCCCAAGGCATCCCCAGGTGTTCCTCAGGTGTCCCCTGGTCCCCTCCTGTGGGTCTGTGTTTTGGGGGTGCCTTTTAGGGATCCCTGTGACTTTTGGGGTCATTTTTGGGGTCCCATTCCCTCAGGAGAGAGCGTGGAGGACAACCCAGTTTGAGGGTGTGGCTGTGGGGGTTTGGGGGTTTTAGGGTTCCCCGTTTCAGGAATTTTCTGGGTTTATGTTCTGAGGATTTTGGGGTGTCCCTGTGACGTTTGGGGTCATTTTTTGGGGTGAATGCAGGGGAGAGGGAGGAGGAGAACGCCAACGTGGTGGTGAGGCTGCAGATCCAGGGATCCCTGTGCTGGGGGTTTTAGGATTCCCCGTTTCAGAATTTTTCTGGGGTTTTATTTTGGGGTGTCCCTGTGACTTTTGGGGTCCCATCGTTCAGGGGAGAGCGTGGAGGAGAACGCCAGCGTGGTGGTGAGGCTGCAGATCCGGGGATCCCTGTGCTGGGGGTTTTAGGGTTCCCTGTTTCAGGATTTTTCTGGGTTTTTATTTTGGGGGATTTTGGGGTGTCCCTGTGACTTTTGGGGTCATTTTTTGGGGTGAATGCAGGGGAGAGCGTGGAGGAGAACGCCAACGTGGTGGTGAGGCTGCTGATCCGGCGTCCCGAGTGCTTTGGGCCGGCGCTGAGGGGCGAGGGGGGCAGCGGGCTCCTGGCGGCCATCCAGGACGCCCTGAGCATCGCCCAGGACCCGGCCCGGGA